GCAGAACTTTCCAATAGAAGTCAGCATTGATCATCAAAAGTTTATTCCATACTTCATAGCTGGGAATAAAATGCTTGGCATATTTTTACAAACAAAATAGTCATTTTCAGTGCTTCTGGCTGTATATTATTCCTGACTAAATGGACATGCTGCAAGCCTCCTACATTCTAGCATATGGCTTTCTTACATGCTTCAGAAAGAGAAATTAAACACTCATTAATAGTCTCTATAGTGCTAAATCAAGAAGAGATTTGGGAGTATTATATCTCATAATATGGTTGCTTCAAGAGACGCCTCTTTAAAAAAAAAAAAAACAGAATATTTTTACATTCAGAAGTATTTTCTTCCCATTTCTTGTAATCCTTTAATATCGCAGACGTGCACTTGATCATGCTGTTTCCCACACAGCAAAGCATGTTTGTCTACTGCTAAATGCTAATGCATTTCATGTACACAATACCTGTCCTGCCAAGTTGTCTTTTTCCACGCATGCTGTAAGAACATTTTTAATACAACATTTTTTCATTAAAAACACTTTCAAACATGTATGCTAACCAAAAAAAAAAAAAACCACACACTTCTGCTTTGGACTAAACTTGATTTTAAATAACAAGCAGCACTATTAAACTTACTTCCCTCCACTGGCACATGTGCACACACACACAGCAACATAGTTCTTTTTCCTCTGAGTATCTCATGTCCCCAGTAGCCTTTTAATGCTTAAGGCTAAAATGCTAAAATACTGAAAACAGGTGTACCTTGACCCTCTGAAGATCTGATAGGATCTGACTGGATCAAAGGCCAAGGTCACTTGAGTCATGAGATTGGCTGAGTGATATTATTTTTGTCATGGTTCCAAACTGTTGAGAGGCAGGACTCCAGTTCTGGCACATGAGAATCAAATGATATGATAGTCTAGTTATTAAATATGACAGATAGAAAAAGCTGTATGTTGCAAAGCTACTCTGTGATTAGTACCCTATATTTTACAATGTCACTGTTCTGAATACTGTAATACTTCCAAGACTTTTTCAAGAACCAAGGCTTTTGAATTTAAAAACAAACAGTAAAAGAAAATACAGATGAAATCTGGTAAGAGCTCAGCTCTGTAAAATTTCACAGCTTATTTTCCCAAATGGCATTCTAGTTCAGAAATTCAACTGTAAAACTAGTTCTCTACTACCAGTTTTCCTTAGGACCACCTTTGCACACGGATAGTTGAATAAACTGCTGTGAAGCATCAGAGGAAAGCAAACAAGAAAAGTCACCTGTCACCTCATTTTCATTTTATGCTTGCATGTAAATGCAGCGTTTTAAATCCAGCTCTATTTCCTTACAGGAAACCTATCCTGAGAATTAGGGAGGAACACCACCAACAATAAGAATAGCCATCTCACCCAAGTATTTCAAGCACCATCCTTTTAATACAATCAAATGTAGAGTAGCTGAATGTTTAGCATAGCATATCATAACTTAAACGGTTTATCAGTTCACACATATGTAAACTGGATATGCACTTCTCTCCCTGATGCTTTGCAAATGCTTTTTTAAAATGCTTTGAGATCCACTGATGAAAGACATTCTAGTAGTATGCTGTATCATCTACATGGGCATCTTCAGCGCCTACTTGCATTTTGAATACAGTTTCTTTAGGAGACCTGAAACCCTAATTAAATCAAAAGATTTCTTGTGGGCTGAGGGATTGTACAGTATTAGATAAGTTAGCAACAAATCCATCAAGTAGTCTGGGGGGGGGGGGGGGGGGGGCGAAGGTGGGTTTGGAAATAAAATGCAATCAGGTAATCTTACAATCAACAGATAAAAGCTAAATAGAAACATATTACATAGCCTGTAACTATAAAATAGGCTAACATTGCATTATTTCCAAGACATAACTGCTGCATACAGTCAAAACGAAGAACCCTGAGAAATGCAGTGAAAATGGTAGAGGAACAGAGAACTTGCATTTAAAACTTCGAATTTTCTATTGTTTCTTCTTAGAGAAAGAATGATTGCTTGTTACAGATAATAAAAATGATCACATTAAGACATGTCTGCACAGGCAACTCTAGGTACCATGCTCAAGACCGGAGCTGGGAGGAATGACTGTTTCTGTTTTGAGTAGAAGTGGGCCCCCTGGTCTCTAAGAATGTGTGCATGATGTATAATAGATACCTGTCTGATATAATTAATTATATTTTTCCTAAATTTAACATTGCCTGAAGGGTAAAATCATTTTGCTTGGTGAAATCCCTCATGCCACACAAAGTCTGTGCAAAAGCCAGATTTAATTGCTGTGATAAAACCACAAGAAAGACCAGGTTTGCATTAAATCTATAACCACATCTAGTGAAGAATAGCTTTAATCACCTTTGAAATGGTGACCACAAAATAATTAAAGGGAAAGTGTTCTCATTAGTAATTATCCCAGAATATCAAATCTCAGTTTATCATAAGTCCAATTTAAAATGGCTTGGCATGGTTTTAATTTTTTCTTCTATTTCTGAGGTTATGAATCTCCTAGAATTACTTCCATGAGGGTGGGAATAAAATTAAGTTTGCCCCGTGCCATTTCATAATCCACTGTCGTGCTCTACTTCCTCTGCCAGTGCTGGTCAGAGTGAAGATATCAGGTAACAACAGTGACTTCTCATTGGCACCTTTGCCATGCGCACATTCAAGACAAACTGAAAAATGAAATTTCATTGTTCTTACTGAAGACACTAACGCTGGTGTTGCTCTGCAATATTACCTTCTTGCTCCTATCACTAGCTACTTCCTGTTGAAGGAGTTTCTGTGGATGTGGTGGCAAGTATTTTTGTCTTGCAGATATGCTTCCAACGCAAAAGGTAAACAGAGTCTAAACTGAATCTAAGCAGTAATTTCCTTTAATTTGTGTGTGTAAATCAGCTCTGCAACAGTTTTTGATTTTGTTTGTTTTTTCAAACAGCATGCAGGACCACCCCTATTCTGCAGAATCAAAGCACAGTACTGATTCTAGGCTTTGACGAGTCACCTGTGTTATGAACTGGCCCTGATCAAAGACCAGGGCAGAGAGCAAATCCTCCTGCTGCTCACATTGTTTCCTCTGTCTGACCTGTTTAACAAACCTAATACATACCACATTTTATTAGGCTCAGCATTTGCCTGCTTGTAAAGAAAATGAATTTGGAATACTATTCGAGACCCTCAGATAGACATAGCAGCACAACGTGGCATGTGTAGTAGCATAAGTTTGATTCTTTTACAGGAAATATTTCCCTGTTTCCTTTTGCTCCTCCTTTCCTCTTTACACACCTAAGCAATTTTGCCAGGAGGGGAGATTCTGGTCTGGTCTGAACTGCTGCCTATGAAATTTCAGACAGCTTGATTTTTGGCTTGGCAAAGTTTGGTGGGGGTCGCTTTCAATATTAGACTTGTAATGAAAGGCTTATTGTAACCTTATCTATGTTATGTGGAAGAGATCAGCATCATTCAATCATAGAAAAAAGGCAGAAGGCTTCTTTCTTTAAATGTAATTTAGTTTTCCTTTCCCCCAAGTCTCATTGTGGGTTCACTGAGCTATGCTCCCCTTCAGGCAGAAATGGAAACCAGAGGAGTTGCATTCTTTCAGTCCTATTCTGACAGCGAGTGTGGCTGCATCAAGCTTAGCAGCTAAAGCCATGCCCATTACTCTGTAGTGCAGCTGTGCAGAACTTGGCTTTTTTGGATCAGTGTTTTTATAGAGACTTTCCTGAAAATTTCACTAGGTTTGTTGCTGCTGAATTGCACTTTGAGACCAAAAAAAATGCACAAAAAAATGCCAAAAAAACTCAGTGAAAAGACTTGCATTTCATCTGGTTTTGTGTTGAAATTGCATGATGTGTTGAAATTTCATCATACTATGAAGTTTGCATGATATAGAGGAATAAAAATTATTTGAACCTGGCCCAGGTTTGCACTGAAACATTCATGAACCATAGCAAAACTTTCAAGTAATGTAAAGTGAGATTTGAGTTTGTAATGAAACCAGGCCATTTTACATGGATTCAGGTTTCATAATGCAGGTCTCTTACAGCTGTACTCTCAAAGGAACATATTCCTATCTCAAGATGGGATTTACATACTGTATGTAACTCCCCACATATCCCAGCAAGATTATTACTTTCTTATATAGCTGTAAATCCTAGAGCTTTATGTTATGTCAAGGGAAAGGATAATCAGCTCACGAAGGGCCAAATCCTACCCCCTGAACAGGCATGTCAGGGCCCAAGAGGTAAAAGAAACTCTGTTCTTTGAGGAGGTAGATTAGCAAGGTACGCCCTCCACTGCAGCACAGAAGACACTCAGCTCACACCAGACAAAATGCAGTCAGCCCCTACATACAGAGCATCACATCACTTGGTGCCCACACCAAACAGGTCAGGCACGTCAAATGGTCTCTGACACAAATTATTCTTTTTCCTAGACACAGTTCCCTTACCTAAAATTCAGAGGATACTGTCCAGCTAACATGGGTAATGTTAAATTATGATGAGGCTAAACAGAAAGCATCTGGTTCTCAGCTCCACTTCTATTCCATAGCATTAAGTGGGAGGAAAAAAAATCAAAACAGAATAAAAGTTATAGGCCTGCACCCTATCTGATATTATTGAGACCAGAACAGGGCTTTTTTTCTTTCAGAAATTGAATACTCTTTACTACTACTTTCCTAACATCATCAAACAGCCTCATGAAGAACCCAAGCCTCTGCATCCCTCATTATCTACCTATTTAATTCCCCTAATTTGGCATCCCTCCTGTCCTGACCACACACAGACACTCTGAATTAATAGTATCTATTGATACACCAACAAAAAGAGGGAAGACAGAATCTCAACATTTTGAACATCATCACTCTGAGAAGAAAATCAGCCAGGAAGGATGCCCCATTTCAAAGGCCACAAACAAGAAACTTCCCTCCTCATCAGCAGCCCTCATGTAAGAATGGCTTGTTTCTACCCAACTTAAGTAGTACTCACATCAGGAAAGCACCAGAGAGCAGGACCTTGTTCAGACCTGATCTCAAATACTAGACTCAGCTTCCTTCCTATCTCATCCTCCTTGCCAAACCAGAGCCCTCCCAACACACCCCTTTTATGCTGTGCATGGAGGGGTGTGTATAGGAAGCAATTAACTCCCCACAGCTGGCCTTATTTCTACAGGATGGAGTGACAACTGTGGTCCCTTTTCTAGCCAGCTTAAGGATTAACCCCTTCTTCCCTACCTGTGTCTTAAGAGGATGTACGCACCCTTGCACAGCTTTGAATTTATTTCATAGCTGACTTTCATCAGCAGTCCCACATCTGAATGACAATGGGCTATCCAGCTTTAAACAAAACACAATATCAAAAACAGATTAAAAACTGAGTTCTGTGTTTACACTCAGTATCATAGACCTGGTCCAAGCAAATATAATCATGTCCAGTAGAGATTATACAAAAGCATGGGGAGGGAAGTCAGAACCATATAGAAAAATCTCCTTTCATTCATGCAAGTGATTAATACATAATTGAATGCTAATATTACAAATAATGATACATGGCACTTATATAGCACCTGCCATCTGAGGATCTCAGCACTTTGCAAAAAGCTACAAAATCTCACACATGCTAACAACATGGCTTATGATCTTTTCAGCCTAACCTTTCAAAACTTTACATGCCATATGAGCGTGTTAAAACCAGGAAATGAATATGCCTGTGACTTCACAGAATTAGACATGCTTTTAGTTTGAAATCTGGTGCAAATATGTGCCCACCCTACATGAAGCTGGCCCCAGAGAAGCTACAGTTAGGATATTATTGGAGTGAGGTATATATGTGTGTGTGTGTGTGTGTGTGTGCTTGTGTGTGAGAGAGCATGTGTGCATACAAATTTAATTATTATCTGAGTTTTCATTCACTTAGGGTGTGTCTTGGTTCAAGGAAAGAGAGAGAACTTGTAATAAAATTAAAAAAAAAAATAAAATTAAAAAAAAAAATGGCCAGATTTGACAGAAAAGTCATTAATTTACCCTTGAAGAAGTCTCTACCACAGGTGCTTACATAAAGCCCAGCCAGATGTAAAATCTAGATCAGAAGTTAAATTTCCTCCTGCAGGTATGCTGGCAAATGCACTCACTGCAAAGAGCCCCACACATGTACACCTGATTGGTGACCGTGAGGAGTGGTGGGTGAATGAGGAAGGTACATAAAATAAAGGCTAACAGACTCAACCCATGTGCTTGGCAGATACATAAAAGTGTGTGGATTGTCATTATGTTCTAGATTTGGAGAATGCAACAGCAGTTCCTTTCCAGAGGCATCGAATATTAAATGGGTCAGACCTGGTCCCCAGCTTCTCTGTGAACTTGAAAGAACTGAATGGGGATGGTAGCGGCTTGTGGACATGGCACCAACTTAAGAACCTGGGAGGCTGGGACTTATCTGTTGTATGGCCATTGATCCAGTCTGTCACCTCAGTTAAATAATTTAACTCTATAATTCTGCTTTTTTTCCATGTCAAGGTAAATTCTCTCTAGTTTTTAAAATCGAGTAGGATTTTTTAAGGCATTGTTTAGTTCCATTAGTTTCTAATTCTCTGTGAGATTTTCTGTGTCTGTGTGATACAGGGAGACCCAACTACGTGAGCACAATGGCTCTGCATGAATCTCTTAATTGTTCTTGGCATAACCAGTATTATTGATTGGGTATCATCCTGGATGAGGCCTCAAAAACCTATTGTAATTTTAATATGCCTTAATATCAATATTACGAAGTACTACTGAGTACAGTAACCCATTAACTGAAACTTTTTTTTTCAGATCTATGTATCTCAAGAAAAAATTCTTTTAAGGATAAGAGGGGACAATTTTTCTCTCATTCTTTCTCTCCTTTCTTTCCTTCCCTCTTTTCTACTGAGAACTGTACTTCCCCATCTTTCTTCTTGAGACATTCAGTCCTCTCCACACTAAGAACTTAAGTGAGGAATCTGTCTAAAGCACCTATTCCTCAAAGCCAGCCTACCCAATCAGGAACCAGAAATAAAACCATGTGAAACAGGTGAATAATCATGCACAAGGAATGACTTAAAGCAAATAATCATAATGTTCAAATTACAGATAATTCATAGGGTACAGTTTATTGACAAAAATAACTCAGCAGACAATTACAAATAATGAACAAATTTGGGGAAATCACAATCAGCTTGTATGCATTACATTTACAGAAGAGCAGAATCTGCTGGATGAATTATTTGTTATGAAGAGTTCAACCAGCACCACTATTTACTTCATAGAGTAACTAAATCCAAAGAGCACACAGTGGAAACCACTGCAGAATGGAAGTATTTACATATTATCTATGCTTGAAGTGTGCAATGGAAGTTGGAGAGAATACACAGCTCAAAAGGCATGCTAATCATCCTGGAAATCATGATGTAAAATTAGCATGCAATCAGTATAAAATGGCAAGCAAATAAATGCAGACACGTGACAAACTGGGACAGAAAAGTCCAGATCGGTATCGAACTTTCCCACTGATTACATTTATTTCACAGATAGGGGAATGAAATGAGGTTGTTACTGTTATTGCAGGGCATAGACCAGAATTTCAAACTCATTTGACTTACATGCACAGAAAAGCTTCCTAATTTCCACCCTGTAGATATGGACTGATGTTTGCAGGTTTGTACTAGAATTTAATGGATTATGAGGTGTTTGGAGTTTGTTATGCAAAAATCTGTGAACTGTCTTCTTGAAATTTTGTAAATTAGCAAAACTGGAATATAATTGAATTTCACAGCAATTCTATTATAGTTTTGGTTCTTCCAGAAGACAAGGCAAGAAACTGAGAATGACGCACATGTACTGGAAGGAACAAAGGCTCAGTGCCCTGCTCTGGGCTAATGTCTTCTGGCTGCATTTTGGGATCTTTCTTTGAAGGCATTTGTATTGACTAATCTCAGCTATGGGATATTTTTGTAAAAGTACACCTTTAATATTAGAGCATTCAATTCTGACCTATCTTAGGCCAAATTTTAGACCAGAGAATATTTATTAGCTTCATGATTCTAAACACATTTACAATGTTCAACGGCTTTAAATAAGGAATTTGTCATGAATGATATCTTCTCTCAATTTCACAGTCCCTATTATGGACTCTATTTATAAACCTTTGTGGAAAAACATTGTTAAGGCAATATTCAAGAAGGGAGCTTAAAATGATCATATGTTATTCTGGTAAAGGTAATAAATTTTCTTGTTCTCTGTTCTCTTCCCTCTTTCCTCCCCTTGTTTTGAGTCAGACCAGCCCCCCCTCCCCCCCAAAAAAAAAAAAAAAAAGTTTTAGGAGGCAGTTTGGGATCAATCCCTTTTTAATAGGGTTGTTCTTATCATACCAGAACGTTAATGTATTTTTGTTGTTTTCTTTATTCGAATGTTGGCCATCATTTCAGACTGCATGCTCTGCTGCACAAAACATGAATTCAGCCTGTAAGTTGCAGAAGTGTACCAGATTTGATCTTGACCAAAAAATCAAGTTTCCTAATCGTTCTATACCCTGAGCATTTCTAATATTCCCTACTATGCCATATGGCACTGGAATTTGCCTCAGTGGGAGTTTGGGCAGTAGAAAAATCCTGGGTGAGGCTACATGAAGCTACAAACACCATTTGAAAACTAAAGTTGTCTCGCCACTCTGACCAGAAAGTCTCCACAAACCACTAATAAATGTACTCCAGACCACAGTCGGGGAAAGGCTGAGATAGACAAATCATTTAATAACCAGAACATGCTCTTCATTCACAATGCTTTCTTTAAAGGGGAATGAAAAAGGGGCACAGTGTCTGACAAAGTATTTCCTTTAGGCAATACAATACTTACTTTTAATTTATAATCCAGTTTACTTGGCAAAAATGACTTTGCCTTCTCATCTCACTGCTATGCACTTTGCTGGGAGCCAGCTGGTCACCACTTTCTGCCCTAGAGGTAGCTGCTTTTCGCTGGTGCTTTATATTGTTGTGAAGTGCTTAGGGATTTACAAGATGGAAGACACTATAAATGTGAGAAATTGTGGAGCTCGTTAAAGTTATTACGAAACTTCCACTTTGTATTAGTCAGATCTTTTCACAGCCACTTTACCACTGAAGTCATCAAAATGTCATCCGTCCTTTCTACTAGAAGAGGGCTCATCAGATTCATTTAAATGGCATTAGCTATCCCCAAATCTCGTACAATTTGGACGACTGAGAACTGTTCCCAATTAATCCTTAGTTTTGTAAAAATAAAATGGGTTTACACTCTGCAAATTTCAAACTATGTGTAGTTTGAACTCTTCCTTAACTTTGGTTAGGCAGACAAATGCAAGTATCCCATCTGAAAAAAAAAAAAAAAAAAAAAAGAAAGTTGTTAGACAAACACAAATCTTAATTATATCTACTTGTATACCAAAACTCTACTTGTAGTAAGAGTAGTTCTTGCATGTGGCAAATCATGAATGGAGAAGAGATCTCATTTACAGCTTAGGACATCATAGACACAAACAAACATGCATGTACACAAATACACAAATCTTCATCAATTTAGGTTAGTACAAATGGTCCTGCAAGGAAACAAAGAAGTAACTAATTAATTGTGTGAGCAGCCTGGTTGTTAGCAGCTTTACAGAGAGAGACTGCAGCTTAACTAAAACATTGTTGAAGTGGAAAAAAACAAAACAAAACAAAACAAAACAAACAACTACAACAACAAAAAACAATTATGGCATTCAGTTATTCTATTAAGTGAAATTAACTATTCTTGTTCTTTGAAAAGAACAAGATAAAGCACAGGATCCAAATAATGTCAGCAGCAATGAATTCTGAAGAACAGCTGTCTAGACTTCTATTTTCGTTTTCAAATTTGAGCGGTTGGGTTTTGTGTGCCTGTATGTTTGCTCCTTTGAATTCTCAGGGTGGTCATGTTAATATGTTTGCCCCGGCAGGTAAAGTGAAGTCTGGATCAAGGTGTGGCATTCTCGCTTTGATGTCGGCTGTCATGCTCGACTGCCTCTGGATCTCTTTGGCTGCCATCAAGTCTGTTGTCGT